TCTTTTAGAAGAGTATCTAAAAAATTAGGACACTGTGGAAAAGTTCATTGTGAGCATCAGAACCAGACTGAGAGATTAAAGGCTTCAGACACCTTTGCTGGTGTTTTGAGTCTATTCGCTGATTAGAGAGCTCTTCTCCAGTTGACATGTCTGTAAAATTTATAATACAGGAAAGGAATTTATTCTAAAATTTTTATACATTTTGAGACACTGGAGTTCTTATTTCCATGTTAACCATAATCATCAAGATGAAAATAAAAAGGATTGAAAGAATTCACTTTGTGTAATGAATCTAGATCAAAGATTCACCTTTACGTTAGAAAATTAACTTCTCCACAATATTCTATTTTCAAAGACTCTTCTGTTGTTTACTTTATATTTCTCATCACCTGCAGCATTTATTACACATTTTCCTCCCAGAGTCACACTGTGGATCAGATGTCCCACCTGGTGCCAGAGAGCTGCAGACACCTGGAAGCCTTGTTATTGTGCTGTTGGCGTGGAATGACGTGGAAAGGCGTTCTCTCTTTCTGTGTACTTTGAATTTTAAATACTGTCTATATTTGTATTATAGGTCCATTTAAAAAAGATATGGTTTACATTGTAATAATATAAATATATATATATATTTATTAGCACTCCCTGTCTTTACTGCTTACTGAAAAGCTAATCGTGGACCAAACAGGCTCTCGTATAAGTTGAAAATTGAAAATACTCCCAAAGATGTTTCACATGAAATGTTGAATTCTGTATTTCTGTGTGTGCAGGAGTATTTTTACTTTCTACCTTACTATACCCAGTAACCATATACTTTATGACAGAGAACAATCTTAAACTCTTGTCTTGCATTCATGAAAACATCAATATTAAAAGGTTACAAATGTAAAAATAGCTTTGTATGACTTGAAATAACATCAGTAGTGTTCAGGTGTTGTGAGTAAAAAGAAAAGGCAGCGCGAAGCAGGAGCTGAAGAGCTGGACACAGCAAATCACATCTGGAGGGATCTGCAATCAGCTCCTCTGACACCTGTCAAGACAACAATGGGTAGACAGTTAAGCAGCTTCTTCCAAAGAGCCATAAAGCTACTGAACTCTGAGGTTTACTAATATGTGCAATATACGGTTTGCTGCTGGATACTGTGCAATAATAATCCATGCTGCTAGACATCTTTTGATTACTCAAGTCAGATCTTATTCATAGTTTTAACGTGACATCACATTCCAATGAAAACGCTCCGTTGGATGTGAAAAAATGTGTTATTTTCCGCTACCTGCCAACCAATATGCAAGTGATACACTGTTACTTTGAGTTTGTTACTTTTTTGTGTTGCCAACATGCTGGATGGTTGTTGTGCTTTCAGATTTATTAATCGGGGAGACAAGCCTGAGCTGAGTTAGGTGAGGGATTGCCCAGAAGGTAGAAGTAAACATTACTGTAGTCGAGCAGCGGCTGGGACCTGGAACACACTAATTTCTGTTAACTTAGCATCGTTAGCAGCTTGGGGCTGCTCCTATCTGGCTAATTAGCGTAACAAGCTAAGCTAACAAGCTATATGCCGACATACCTGTTAAATATTGTTGACACGTAAATAAAATAAAAGAATTTCACTCACCAACTGGAACACGGACTTCCTGGAGGTTCTCTCTCCAATAAACTGCAAAGCCTGCCATTATTCATCCAGTTTGCATGTAGAAATGTCCAAAAGGCTCCTAATAATGCAGAACTTTAAGGCTTGATATAATCTAAACAGGTGAGTTATAAAAAAATTCACCCCCCTCACAGTTGTTACGAAGGGCAAAATTAGCGATTTGCACTAAAAACATTTTTGAACCAGGCTGTAAACATGTTTTATTCTGCTGTAAAGTTGGGCTTAAAGTTTGACTCCCTTCTGCAGCCAGCCTCAAGTGGCCACTCGATGAATTGCAGGTTTTTGGTCTTCCGGGTTGGTATAGGAAGTGAGAGCTGGTGGTTGCCGCTTGGTCCCGGTGTGTTGCAGTACTGGCGTGTAAACTGCTCCGTAACTAGACAGCAGATCAGCTGTTCAGATCAGTTCTGCACACACACAGTTATTTCTTACTGTTGTAGTGAACAACGGTGTGGATTTGTGCATTTTATATTGAATAAACTTGGAGCTACTCTAAATTACTTTCTCCTCCCCAGAGAAGAAGGAGAGGGGTCAGAGTTGCTTTCTCTAAGTGCTATCCCAACCATAAAACTGGCACCTTTTTGATTCCGAAGCTGATAACGCGGGGCCTGACTGTTAAACTGACAAAGGGACACGAACCAGCCATTGGCATCTCCTGAACAGCCTATCAAACTGGCCCCCCACACATGTTTCCGTGGCAACTGACCTTATTCTTTGTTTTATTACCACATCAAAAAGGAAAACCCCTGTCTCACCCAAGTGTGACACAATCCAGGACAGCCAAACTTTGAATGGCTAAGGACTGCAGTCTCCAGACTCAAAGCATTTAATTAAGTTTAATTAAATCTTTAGTTACCTGGTTACGTTTGCCTCTATTTGAGTAGTTATGTTAACTGTTGCTGCTATCCGTTGTTGATATTAGTGCTGAAAAGAAAGTTACTTGTGCAGTGTTTTTATTTTCAGCACGAAACTCCTTCATCTAATGTAATCAATGCTTGTTCATAATACTTTCCTACAAAATTCCTTTAGAAATGATGACAAAGGAATGTTTTACCATACTCTTAATCGCCAGCTTGAATTTAAGGATGAATAAACAATATTCCCAGTTCCTAAGGAGAGATGATCTTTGATTTAATCTAAGCTTTCCTCATGTAACCTGAGCTCCCCCAAGTGGCGAAACAAGTATTACATGCCCTCGTCGGAAATGCCGTTAAATGTATAAATATCCTGACCAATAATGTGACAATTGTTTCCTGTTACCAAATGCCTAGAACAGTACAACCGTTCAACCATTGAGGTTCGATTGTGGAAAATATTTGATTATAATACGTGCAAATAGATTTCTTTTAGACATTAAGTTTAGAGAGGCAGTCCCTTGGGAAACCTGAGACGCCCCCTGGGAAACCACGCCCCAGGCAACAAAAGAGCGACACGCGACCTCTCGCTCTTCTCTTCGCTGTTGGCTCTTCTCCACTCTGCTCGGCTCCCTGGACGCTTCGGCACGCGTGTGGCGTGCTTCGCCAGGCAATGCCCAGACTCGGCCAGCGAAACAGGCCTTTTGTTTCGCTTGAAGCTACACACCTGAAGTGCCACGACATCGATCTGCCCTTCAGTTTGTTTTTATTTTCTTTATTTCTTTTGTTTGTTAAAGTTATCAGTCCGTTAAGTTACACTGGACTAATTCAGGAACGACCAAGTTCCATTTTAAGCCTTTTTCGTCGAGCCAACTTCACCGAGGTCAGACCAAGCCACGTGGTCTCGCCAGCTGCAACCAAGGAAACCTGAAAACAGCCGAATTGCCAGACGGAGGAGGCGTTTTCAATCAGACACGGAGTCAAATGCTTCCCACAATCGAACCTCCAGGCTCATTGTTCAGCAAATGTTTATGTTCCCTGTATCCAACCATCTTTTTATCACCTTAGTTAGAGAATAAATTCACTGTAATATAATCAAGAGCTGTGTGTGTTTCCTATTTCTAGTTCCTGCCAAGAGAATTGACCCTTTAGATATGAGACTGACTGACTGATTTAAGATAATTGAGCGATTATTAACTAACTGATCACTAGTAATAATTGTATAATTATTCAAAACTACCTAAAGGTCCGGAGACTCTAGGATTATAACAACTCCGGTGGTGCCCTGAAACGAGGAAAATTTTGATTTTCAATTATGAATTCATAATTGGGTATCAATTCTCATAAATTATTAAATGCATAACTAAAATTTTTTAGGTCTGCTACACAGTATACCTGTTTGGTCCATGAAGACTTCATTTCAGTGGAACTTTCTGTTGCTGCAGCAGAAACGTTTATTAAAAGATGTATTTTTGGAAGCAGTGTTCATTTTATTGTCTTGACTGTAGCATATGCCTAAAACAACCTTAAATTTAATTTAAAAGCCGATAGCTAAATGAGGCATTGTGTAATTTTGCGATCTGTAATCAGAATAGTCGATTATTTGACTATTAAAATAGTCGTTACTTGCAGCCCTAGAAATAATCAGAAGCTACTTTATACATGTGGTGGATCAAAAGCTTCACATCTTGTCTGACTTTGCTCCTCAGTCCCTCTCTTCAGCCACACTCTCCTCCCTCTGCATTACTCTCTCCATCAGGACATCTTCTTTTCATTAACCTCTCACACCTGCCACCTTCATGCACGGCAGCTCATTGAACGGCATCAGTCTCCCTGTTTCATCTGTGTTTGCGTCCAGTCCACATCGCCTCAGCAAACCCACCCTGACACATCTTGTCTCATGACGCCGAGTTTATATAGGTTATCAATGTGTCAGTTATTTTTGTGGTTTACCATGTTAATAAAAGCAAAATAGTGAGTAGAAAGAAGTGTATAATTCAGTACAAGAAAACTGAAAACAAAAGTCAGCGGATGTTTGTCTATCGTCTTAAAATAAGATATAGAGGGGAGATGTTTAGATAAATACAGAAAGCGTAAAGTCAGTGGTGAGATGACGTCCCTCACCAACTCATGGACAAAGATAATGCCCGCAATATGCGACCCCCTCTAAGTGCGCGTCATCAAATAATTCAGAAACATTCTTCCTCTCCTGAAAGATTTGCGCATGTTTCTGTCTCCACCGCGCCATCACAAGCCTACTGGAGAGATAATTCAATAATTTGGTTTATTAATTATTACAATTATTGAAGTTTAATAACTCGGTTCAGGAACAAAGACTTCGCCTCAAACACACCTGATTTTAGCACACAAAGTATTTAAGCACAACTTTTCTGTTCTCTTCCCTCCGACCAGATAAAATAAAACAGCAACTGTGAGATTTAAAACTAAAAACAAACAAAATATGTTTGTGGAAACAAATCAATATCAATGAAAGATGAACCTCTTTTGTCCTGATATCCAGCTCCTTCTGCAGCTTCTTATTGTCGTCCTCACTCCTCTGCTTCTCCTGTTTGAGATTCTGGACTTCAGCTGTCAGACTTTCCACCTAAGAGGAGAGAGAAGATAAAGACAGAAGATGAGAGAACTTTTCTCTTATTAAAGTATGTGAGTTAAGAAAAGTCTGTCTCAGTGTTTTTCTTCATATCAGCTGGTTTCTGTCAGTGAAAACACATGATGAGGATTCCAGGGCTCGTATTTATCAAGCTTCTCAGATTTACTCATAAAAACGCTGCTAAGAACTGACTTAAGAGTAAAAACATTCTTGGCTCAAAGCTGCATTTAAAAGTTAGTTATCAAGCATCTCAGTCCTAATTTGAGTGAAGTGTAGGATTAAATCTTAAGTGTCAGTCTAAGTGCTGATTCACGACACTTTGCTGTGCTGCAAACAGAATTTTGGATGACGATGTAGCCAAGGACCAATCACTGAAGAGATTTCCTTATTGGAGAATATTCTCAGATAAATTCACGTTGAAAGGTGAAATTCCTGAGAGGAGTTTATATTCAACACACATTTAACAATAAAGAATTTTCAAGATAATACATTATGATATACACATTAATAAATTAAAGAAAGTTGATCTTTATATGAGCGCCATCAAATGCACCTTCTACTCCTGTGAAGCCGCTATTTGCATGAACCATCTGTCAGATTACAGGGGGTGTTGTTGGGAAGACGATGAAACGTGTGACAATGAGTGAAGCTGTAAGTGACATAATCAGGGTTTAACATTAACAATAATAACGAACGAATTGCAATGTGACACTATGACACTCCAACTCCCATGAGTACTACCTGCACATGTTTGCTCATTGGTCCATTAGTGAAGCCTATTGTCTTGTGCGCTACTGACCAACGACACTGTAAAAAAGAAGACGCTGTGGAGATTAAACTCACGGACTGTCGGACCGAGGGATGTTTGGCCCGCCGTTAATTATTCACTTAATCTGCGGCAGCCATGACAAAGCAAGCTTTTTAATAGCAGGCTCTCTCGCGAGGGTGCGCACGTCAAATATCACATCCAGACTTTTGTAAAAGAGAATATAAAACTTAAATCTGTCACAGGGCAACCACAGTCCCTCAGACCTGTAGACCAACAGACATGCCGGTCACTTTTAAGTTGATGGTTTGATCTCTGTCATCACTCAGTGAGTGAGTGTGCGTGGCCGTCCAGTGTGCAGAAAAATGACCAGCTGTTTTTTGGTTGTTTTTTAAATGAAACATAAACTGAAAATGGAGCAGAAACAACAACAATCATAGAACTTCAAGTCAGATGACTTAGAGGTGTTTGTAACCTCCATCGAGAAATCCACATAACGCTTAACTGGGGAGATTAAAGAGAGAGTGGACAGATCTCTCCCGCAGATCCAGCATGCAGCAGAGCACTGATGCTGTCAAAAAGAAAATTAAGTCCATTTACAGTGATATGAAAACACAGGCAACTGTTGTGTCCAAAGAGCAGATGAAACCGCTGGTGGCTCCTCCTGTGCTTCCTCACTGACCCTGGCAGAAGGCTACTCTTCTCGGGAAAGTTTAATGACGGTAAAACATTTTAACATAAGAGGAAATGTGATTAATCTGTTACACCAGCAACACTCAGTACAGTGGTGTTTCTGTTTCAAAATATGACATGTTTCAGTAGTCTACTGAAAATGACACATTACTTTTGCTGTAAAACCTGAATAAATACAATGATCTGCTCTTTATCTGTGAATGATGGAAGCATGTTTCAGCAGCTCCTCCTAAAACCCAAATAAGTCTGTTTGAATTTCTCTAATTTGGAGTTTTATAACATTTATTATAAGAAAAAGTCCAACAGGGACTTTGACCTCAAACAGGCTCTAAACATAAAGAACGTCAATGTGTAGGATAGTATAGTTTGTGAATGACGTTTAGGCATTCAAAGGAATTTAATTTTAAATTTTAAACTATACCTTATAATATAAAAATATATATTTAAAAGGAAAGAAAATGGTTCACTTTGCAATTAATAGCAAAAACAGTCAGTGGGGACACTTTACTGCACTGAGTACTTTTACTCTGATACTGCTTCTCTGGTTATAATTACAGACTTTTATTGAAATAACAACAAGTAAAACTGATTCAGAATGATGTCTGAGCTGTCTTGATGAGAGTTTTCATGAACACCTGTCAGTCAGTCAGGGAGACAATTATTATTATTATTTTCTGTTGGTTGATCTGGTGTAAATGAAGTCACTAGTAACTGAAAGCATAAGCATATCAGTGTTGTGAAGAATAAGCCCGAGATAACCAGAAGTTTTTTTGTATATGTGGTGGATCAAAGGCTTCACATCTTGTGACAGTTTGCTCTTCAGTCCCTCTCTTCAAACTTTCCTCCCGAGCCCTCTGCATGACTGCTCTCTATCAGGACATGTTCTTCTCCTCAGAGCTGCCACCTTCATGCATGTCAGCTAATATTTGCAATAAATCATTAAACAGCATCAGTCTGCCGGTTTCATCTGTGTTTGGGTCCAGACCCCATCGCCCCAGCAAACCCACCCTGACACATCTTGTTTGATGTAAGAGTAATTCACAGGTTATACTGTTTCTGTTATTTTTGTTGTTTACCACGTTAATAAACTCAAAGTAAAATGAAGCTTAAATAGCGAGTAGAAAGAAGTGTATAATTCAGTAAGAAAACCTAAAAGAAAAGTCAGTGGATGTTTTTCTCTCATCTTAGAAGACGGTGTAGAGAGATGTTTAAATAAATACAGAAAAATCAAAGTGAAGTTGTGAGATTTAAAACTAAAAACAAACAAATAGGTTTGGGGAAACAAATCAATATCAATGAAAGATGAACCTTGTTTGTCCTGGTATCCAGCTGATTTTTCAGCTCCTTCTCACTCCTCTGCTTCTCCTGTTGGAGCTTCTGGACTTCAGCTGTCAGTCTTTCCACCTAAGAGGAGAGAGAAGATAAAGACAGAAGATGAGAGAACTTTTCTCTTATTAAAGTATGTGAGTTAAGAAAAGTCTGTCTCAGTGTTTTTCTTCATATCAGCTGGTTAAAGGGTTTCTGTCACTGAAAACACATGATGAGGATTCAACATTATTTACTCTGTGTGCTGCTGACTGTTGCTTGTTCTCCAGCTAACACACACACACAAGCTGTGTTTCCATCAAGGTTTTTATATCTGCCTTGTAAAGTATCACATTAGAAAAGGTTGATGGACACAGCAAAATCTGAAAAAACTTAATTTCGCAAAAAAAGTTTTTACGCTCGCTTGAGGTGGTTGTTGTCAGAAAAGAGTTACTGCACTAAATGAGAGATGGAAACACTTTTACAGAATAAGTTCTGACGTAGTGAAAATGTAACTCACGACTTTGCTGGATATTCTCATAACACACAGAGACAAGGGAGGGGAGTACCATGACGACATAAAGTGACAAATAAAATTGTGCAAATGAATGTTGAATTAATAAACAATTAAAACTTGTTTATTAATTATAACAATTATTGAGTATTTAAGCACAACTTTTCTGTTCTCTTCCCTCTGACCAGATAAAATAAAACAGCAACTGTGAGATTTAAAACTAAAAACAAACAAAGGTTTGTAGAAACAAATCAATATCAATGAAAGATGAACCTCTTTTGTCCTGGTATCCAGCTCCTTCTGCAGCTTCTTATTGTCGTCCTCACTCCTCTGCTTCTCCTGTTGGAGCTTCTGGACTTCAGCTGTCAGACGTTCCACCTAAGAGGAGAGAGAAGATAAAGACAGAAGATCAGAGAACTTTTCTCTTATTAAAGTATGTGAGTTAAGAAAAGTCTGTCTCAGTGTTTTTCTTCATATCAGCTGGTTAAAGGGTTTCTGTCAGTGAAAACACATGATGAGGATTCCAGGGCGCGTATTTATCAAGCTTCTCAGATTTACTCATAAAAACGCTGCTAAGAACTGACTTAAGAGTAAAAACATTCTTGGCTCAAAGCTGCATTTAAAAGTTAGTTATCAAGCATCTCAGTCCTAATTTGAGTAAAGTGTAGGATTAAATCTTAAGTATCAGTCTCAGTGATGATTCACGACACTTTGCTGTGCTGCAAACAGAATTTTGGATGACGATGTAGCCAAGGACCAATCACTGAAGAGATTTCCTTATTGGAGAATATTCTCAAATAAATTCACGTTGAAAGGTGAAATTCCTGAGAGGAGTTTATATTCAACACACATTTAACAATAAAGAATTTTCAAGATAATACATTATGATATACACATTAATAAATTAAAGAAAGTTGATCTTTATATGAGCGCCATCAAATGCACCTTCTACTCCTGTGAAGCCGCTATTTGCATGAACCATCTGTCAGATTACAGGGGGTGTTGTTGGGAAGACGATGAAACGTGTGACAATGAGTGAAGCTGTAAGTGACATAATCAGGGTTTAACATTAACAATAATAACGAACGAATTGCAATGTGACACTATGACACTCCAACTCCCATGAGTACTACCTGCACATGTTTGCTCATTGGTCCATTAGTGAAGCCTATTGTCTTGTGCGCTACTGACCAACGACACTGTAAACAAGAAGACGCTGTGGAGATTAAACTCACGGACTGTCGGACCGAGGGATGTTTGGCCCGCCGTTAATCATCCACTTAATCTGCGGCAGCCATGACAAAGCAAGCTTTTTAATAGCAGGCGAATCCACACAACAGGCGCGTCTCACTCTCTCACCTCTCTCGCGAGGGTGCGCACGTCAAATATGACATCCAGACTTTTGTAAAAGAGAATATAAAACTTAAATCTGTCACAGGGAAACCACAGTCCCTCAGACCTGTAGACCAACAGACATGCCGGTCACTTTTAAGTTGATGGTTTGATCTCTGTCATCACACGACTGGTCTCATGCACAAACAGCGTTCAGTCAGTGCATGAATGTGCGTGGCCGTCCAGTGTGCAGAAAAATGCACAGGTGAAAGAAGGAAAGAGAAAAAGCAGAGCAGAGGCGGGGAAAAGCAGAAGGAAAGTGCCGTTAAATGCTGTAAAAAAAAATAGATCTCTTCATGATTAAGAAACATGTTGGTGTTTAAAAAAGAAAACAACAGACTACTAGCAGGGCTGCCCTTCATATCGACATATCACAACTACCTGTCCAGAGTTGATTCTGTTATAAAAAGTTGTCATGCCCATTAACATCGTCAAATAATTCAGAAACATTCTTCCTCTCCTGAAAGATTTGCGCATGTCTCCACAGCGCCATCACAAGCCCTACTGGCAGCTCCTAACCACCTGAGAGACCTCTGGAGTCGTCTTAAATAACCCGGAGAGTCAGAGTGACTCTCAGCTTTAAAAAAATTCATAACTTGCTTTTATACTTAAGTTTGAAAGTAGGAGTAAATTTCGTGAATTCTGAGCACTTAAGACTAAAATGGCACTTTGAGAAGTTTGATAAATATGGGCCCTGATTATTTACTTTGTGTGCTGCTGACTGTTGCTTGTTCTCCAGCTAACACACACACGAGCTGTGTTTCCATCAAGGTTTTTTTACGTGCCTTCTGAAGTATAACATTAGAAAATGTTGACGGACACAGCAAAATAAAAAATAAAGATTTCTTTAATTTCACAAAAATATTTTTTACGCTCGCTTGAGGTGGTTGTTGTCAGAAAAGAGTTACTGCACTAAATGAGAGATGGAAACACTTTTACAGAATAAGTTCTGACGTAGTGAAAATGTAACGACTTGCTGGATATTCTCATTAACGTGCAGAGACAAGGGAGGGGAGTACCATGACGACATAAAGGGACAAATAAAATAGTGCAAATGAATTGAATGTTGAATTAATTCAACAATTAAAACTTGTTTATTAATTATTACAATTATTGAGTATTTAAGCACAACTTTTCTGTTCTCTTCCCTCTGACCAGATAAAATAAAAAAGCAACTGTGAGATTTAAAACTAAAAACAAGCAAATAGGTTTGTGAAAGATGAACCTCGTTTGTCCTGCTATCCAGCTGATACTGCAGCTTTTTCTTGTCGTCCTCACTCCTCTGCTTCTCCTGTTTGAGATTCTGGACTTCAGCTGTCAGTCTTTCCACCTAAGAGGAGAGAGAAGATAAAGACAGAAGATGAGAGAACTTTCCTCTTATTAAAGTATGTGAGTTAAGAAAAGTCTGTCTCAGTGTTTTTCTTCATATCAGCTGGTTAAAGGGTTTCTGTCACTGAAAACACATGATGAGGATTCAACATTCAACAAATGCACCTTTTGAAATATCACACTAGAAAAGGTTGATGGAAACATTTGAAAAAACGTATTTAATTTCACAAAGTTTTTACGCTCGCTTGAGGTGGTCGTTGCCTTAGTCAGAAAAGAGTTACTGCACTAAATGAGAGATGGAAACACTTTTACAGAATAAGTTCTCAGGGCTGCCAACTTCTCACTTTAGTCTGAAGTGAGATTCGGTATTGGAGGTCGGTGTAGATGAAAAGCCAAGTCAATAATCAGATCAGTGTGATCAGGACATTTGCCAAACTCCGGACATGATAGCCTTAATTTGACCAACCTACCCATGTACTGGGGAGTGTTCCCCCAGAATCTAGGCCTATGTGTCAAAACCAGAGACTGGATTTCTTTCTTTTTATGTTATTATGTTAGGTTTTCCTCAAATTTTTTGCATTAAACACTTAATTTCCTGAATTCTGTGAACATTTCTGCATCAATTTATGGAGGGAATGATTTTATCTTGGCTATGGCAACGGAACCACAAAACTCAGGCAGCAGGTAACTATTTAAAACGTAAAATATACCAGAATATAGTTCATTAGATGTATGCATGGCTTCCAAGAATTCTGTATTTCTTTTTCTTTCATGATTTTGTCTTTCCTCTTGGTTGTGTCTTTGTTTGGGGAAGTTCCTCTTTGTGTGGCACCTTTTCACCTCAAGGATAAATTAATTCATTTTAAGTCAGTTAGAAACTCCTGGACTGAATGTTCAACACTTTTTGCATCTATACCACATATCTGTCTAATCTGGCATCTCCAGAAAGATTTCTATGAGAATAACGTCATCATTTAATAACAATTCACAATATTTTTCAAAATCTCCCCGGCCTTTAATCAGACAGACACAGAACCCGTTTGGGACTGTAGGCTATAGATGAGACCTGTGCAAAACAAAACTAACTGAAAACACAAATCCACACACGTCAACTTCAGCAGCTCTGTGCAGCTCACATTACCAACAGAGCAAGGCTGTACTTCAAATTATACATTTTTATACTGCAAAACTGGACCAGCTACGTAAGTCGATCACAAACTGTGTGAGAGCAGGTTCGCTTGATTCCTTTCCCAGCGTCCGTCGGTGTCGCATCAGCTGGGTGGAGTATAATCGCGCTGAGTCGACGCTATCAGTTATAGGTTACATACATTTTTCCAATGCGTGAGAAAATTGATGTATGGCGTGAGGGAGTGTGAAAAGTGTCAATTGCGTGAGTCTCACGCTCAATGTGAGAGAGTTGGCAGCTCTCAATTCTGACAGAGCGAAAATGTAACTCACGACTTTGTTGGGCCTCCGGCCTCTTGCCACCCTACAGGCCTGACCCCGGCCTGCTGAATTTCCAAAACCCCGAATTGGAGTTATTTTCAAACAAAGGACAGTAAAAGAGGCGTCAAAGCCCGTTTCACACCTAGGTGTGAAATAGTGAGTCGGACATAAAAGTAGAGCCACTATTGACTGCGCTTGTAATCCTGCAGGTCGCCCTGGTAACGCAGCCGGTGCGCCCCCCTCAGGTAGCATGTGGGCCTGAGCGCAGCCAGCACATCAGGTGCGTTTGACTTAATGCGGCGCTGCGCAGCGCTGACTTAATGTGATGCATGCTGGACTTAAAACAAGGCATACTGGTTAGAAATTGTGCACCAACTTTCGCCGGCGCTTTAAAACGTCACCATGTCACATGACATTAAAACCTCGCGGGAGTAAGGCGGCTGCAGCTGCTTTTCCCCGACTGCGCCATGTTGGACCCACACTGTTTTTTCCGCGAATCAGTCATTGATCTCAGCTCACAGTAAACCACTGCAGGTTTGTGTCCGACTTGACGGCGCCGTTTTTTTACCCCACCCCTGCAGTCACCTGCAGCCTGTGTTAGACTATCAAATCTGCGAAATTCAGCTGCCGTCACCTCGAACGCAATACTGTGTTTTCCACAACTGTGTGAGCGGTGATAGGAGCAAAAGAAATTTTTGTTTGTTCCTGAATACAGACTCGCTGGTGGAGCGCTGCTGTTACCTTTTTTTTCTGTGTGTGAAAACACATTCACCTTTTGGATCCTGAGGTTCCTTGTTTGTTATCAGTTAGCATCCGATTCGCAGCTTAAGTTAAAGTACTTACGATGCTGAACGACCGACTCTCCGTTTTCTGCACCTCTTACTGCTGTGAAAGCTGTTATGCATTTTAGGCAAAGTCTTAACACTGTCTGAAACACTTTTTTAGATTTGAAAAAAAACTTTATTTTATTTGTGAAAATGAAAAAAGGGCAATTTCACTGTGTTTTCTCCACATGCAGACCACATTAGACCAAAACCACTATACCTAGAGCTCTCAAATCTGGACTAGTCCCACAGAAGTTAAAGTTTCAATCAAACATAATTGCAGATTTGTGAAACGTTTATTCAATTTGTGAAAATGAAAAAATGGTGATAATTCAATGCTTTTTCACACCAAGTGACCTGGCCTTGCAGCCTTTCGACAACTCTCCCTCTGATTGGTTAGTACTCCTTTCCTTTGCCAATCGGAGTCAGAGTAGGAGGCAGGATATGAGGCAAACTTTGTGTTCTTCAAATGATATTTGTTGGATAAATGGTGGGTAAAACATGTAGTATATGTTGTGATTTTTTATTAAGTATTCCAGTTTTTAGCCTTGTCTGCCATGACCCTGTATGGGCACCAAAGCGTTTTTTCTGACATGGGCGTCTATTTTCAATTCGTTGCAATAGGAGCACCACGTTTTTACGAGCTGGTAAAAACGCCAGCAGCATGATGAGGTTGAAAAATGTTCACCTTTGGGGAAAACGCTGCGCTCGTCACTGTCACTTTTTACCCAGCTGTCCAATCACAATAAATACCACACCGTAGCAACGGTTACTATCCTGGAACCGGCTTCGTCCAGCCTCAGCTCATGGACTAAACGGTGGTACTTGTTGAACCCACATACGGCGAGTCCGTCCTTTTTCTCTACTTGCTTCAGCTTTGTCTTCATACAGAGCAAGTTGGCTACTCTACTCTGTGTTGACATTTTTACATCCAGTAAAGTCAGGTAGAACTACTTGCAACATCACTCCACACCAAAAGGGGTGGTGGTGCATAGATAAGATGGGAGACCTGGGTTCGATTCCCACTGTAAGACATCCACCATTGTGTCCCTGAACAAGACACTTAACCACTTGTTGCTCAAGAGGCGTGCGACCTCTGACATGTATAGCAATTGTAAGTCGCTTTGCATAAAAGCGTCAGCTAAATGAATAAATGTAATCACTTCCTCGGATTTTATGTACCATAGCAACCAAAGGAGTCGGAAAAAAACGCTACACCTCAAAACGTCCGCTAGCGCTTCCTGCTGGGTGTTTTCAGCTGGCAAAAAACACTTTGGTGGACACGGGCCCTAACTGTTTAAACTGTTGCTGTCTTGTGTTTCCCTGTTGAAATAGTAAACTCTGTAATTATCTTGCGTTTTGATTCTCTGAGTCTGTCAAATTCCAGAGCCTTCATTATGCAAATAAATAAGAACATATTTAACACATAGTTAAACACTTACAGCTATAAATGCATTGACTTCTGTAATGGCATGTAACATTACATTACCATGTTCCCTACCATTAGCCATGTGCTAATTAACAGTCAGGACAATAAAATAAATACTGCTTTCAAAAATGCATCTTTTAATGAACGTTTCTGCTGCAGCAACAGAAAGTTCATCAAGTCCTGATCTCAGCAGCTGATCTGCTGTTTAGTGACTGAGCAGTTTACAGACAGTTCTGCAACACACCGGGACAAACTGACACCATCTACACAGAAAGGAATAACCTCATGCATTACATTTGCCGAATTTACAGGGGGTCAATAATTATTATAATTACGGCCCGATGGCCCGATGTGTTTTTGTGGTTGCGTCCATTCTGCTGACGCTGCCTGAATGCATCACAAGTAGCAGGACATGAGATCGGCTGTTTTGCGCGGCCAACCAGGTTTACTTCATGGAAGTTTCATGGAAGTATTTTCACAAACTGAATTAAGGTTTCACAAATCTGAAACTGTGTTTAAAAGAAACTTTAGCCTCTCTGGGACAATCTAGTCCAGATTTAAGATCTCTAGGTAAAGTGGTTTTGGATCTGGACCTGGTCTAATGTGGTCTGCATGTGAAGAAATGCAGTGAAATTGCACTTTTTTCAGATCTAAAAAAAAGTGTTTCAGACAGCGTTTAGGCTTAATTTTCCTAAAATGCATAACAGCTTTCACAGCAGTAAGAGGTGCAGAAAACGGAGAATCGCTCAGCAATGTAAGTTTCCCTTAACTGCCGAATCGGAAGCTGCGAATCGGTTGCTGACTTCAGCGTCGTCTTGTTGTTTAACAAAGGATCATTACCCACAGAAGAAGATGGATAACTAAAACTCTGTGCTTAATTGGGAAGAAGATAACCAGGCTTCCTATTAATTGACTGTTTCCACCCGCTGCTGCAGCTGGAATAGTCGCCGTGAACCCGCTACCGAGCTGAATCTCGGCCTCGCCAGGATCCGATCCTAGAAATACCTCAGACGGACACATTCCCATTGAGAACTGGTGTTTTCATCGTCGCTACCAAGAGCGAACTGAGTAAGAGGCTTAACTAAAGTTTCTGGGCAGAGAGATAACGTTAGACATAATTGTGTTGGTTATGCGCTGAGCTTCATGTTGATTGTGGATTTATGGCCCGCTGCTAGATATTGCTGTGTTTACGTGCTCAAGCAGCTGTGTTAACATCATCCAGGCCACTTAAGTCAGCTGACCATATCCTTTATCAGAGTTAAAGGCCGAGCATAGGCCAGTGAACACTCTCGTTGATAATCG